TATAATGTGGAATAAACCTAATGGCATCATCAAAATACTTAAGTCATATGACTGAGAAACACCATTAATAAAGAGCAGGCTAGAAATACATATTACATTACATTTTAATGTCGTTTTTAAATATAAAATATTCACAATTCACATAACCAGTTTTTCTAAACAGGAAAATGAAAATAAATACAAGTAAATATTTTAAAACAATTCATCTAAAAAAAACAAACAAAGAAACATAGAATGGACAATATGTAGCCTATAATATCAACAGGAATGCTACGATGTAAAGCATGATGTAATCATACATTGTAGTGAATGAATTCAGTATGAAGATTTAGATCTTGAGACTGTGGTCCAGACTCATTCCCACCAGCTACGGCCCTGTGTATGAATATAAAGAAGCTCGTGATGAGGAGGTCATAAGCCCTCATGAATATTCACACCAGTTTATTCAGTCAGTGTCACAATGGTCCAGACAGAGCGGTCTATCGAGGCGCGTTCACTCTAGATGAACCCGAGGCGCAGTGTCGTGCCAAAACAAGTGCTTTTATCAAAGAGAGAGACTGGAATCGTGCGCTTTGAGAACCTTGAGAGACAGACACCGGCCTCTTTTGATGTCAGTGTCTTTTGTTTTGTGTGAGATTGTGCATGAGGCACACAGGTTCATTTGTTTTAAGGGGTTTATGAATCTGTGCATGTCACTCGAGAGCTACAATTTTGCTCTTGTTATCTCTGAATGGACTGTGTTGTGTCCAGGTGCATCTCAGTGCCAGTTGAATTTAGAGCAAACAGGATAAACCAGCTTTAAAATGGTCATTATTAGGAGTATTGTAATTTACTTTATAAATAGTGCACAGTTCATGTATGTAATGTTTATTAAACTGCGTGCCGTTTACCTACACAAGTCCAGGGGCAAGTTCAAGCTAAAACCGGTGTGCACCGTTTTGCTACGGTTTCCGGTTTGAACGACATGTTTCCTGGAAACGGTGTGCAACGGGGTTTGAGATGCATTTTCTCTTGTTTGGTGGGTTTATCAGCAATAATGATAAGTCTAATACTCACAATAAAAATAATAAGGTCATATAGATCATAACACAGTCTTGGAGGTAAGAAGTGGATGATCCTTCACCTGAAATGTTTGTCTTTTCATCCTGAAATGCGAGGCAAATGTTGGATCACAATAATTAGGAACCACAGTTTCCACAAATCCCTTCACTCGATTGGAATGTTCTCTTTTATTCTGGAGGGCAAGGGCAATGACTGTACCATTGAGTGTATTTTGCAGTATTAAACATGTATTTATACCGATTTCATCAGGTTCCGAAAATTCTTCAAAAAGAACACAAAGAATGGCCTTCTCAGCTGCCATAGTTGCAACTCTTGCGTCAGCAGAACAGGGTGTTCAACGCACCACCGTTTCCGTTTAAAAAACGTTTTGCACCGTTTTTGTCGGGGCTGAACGCAGCCCTGGTGACTGAAGCATTTCCGGATAAAATCAATTGTTTGGCCCCATTCTAGAATAAAACGACGAGTTGTGATGCTGGAATGGGTCTGTCAAGGTGCAACATAGCGCCAAATAAGTTTTAACATTTATTAAATCTTAAAATAACAAACGCCAAATATAGCACAGTGGATTGCTGCTTCCATAAATCAGCCCGTCAATTTCGTGAAATTTTTTACCAATTAATTAGCTCACCAAACGTTTAGAACAGACGTTTGGGTACACTGTGGAACTCATATTGCAGGGTTAAAAAAATCAGTTGCTTTAAGGATTGAAATGAAAAATTTTTCATAATTTTTTAATGCAACAAAACTGGAAGCAACTTACCTTCAAATCTACTTTAAAAAAAAATCTTACTTATAAATCAAAATATTATACAAAAATTCAACCTCTTAAAAAAACAAATGTCAGCAAAAACGTCTGTTGGGAATAGTAGGCTAATGAAAGTTTTGCAAAAAAATTTTTTATTAGTGTTTTATTCCAGTAATATTACTCCTTATAGACAACAACTAATAACTCACCTTTCACAGTTTGCTATATAGTTTCGGTTGCTCCGTAAATAAATGATAGAAATATTATATAAAAATACATAATACATGCATAATAAAAATGACAAAAACCTTACATATTGTTTTGCAACTTAAATATATATCATCTCTTAATAACAAACATATACCTGGCACTTAAGCGCTTCCCAGATGCACCTGCCTCTCAAACAGGAAATGGAACTTTACTGTCCTTTTATTGTTCACATGCAATAGTTTATATGATTTATGTTATTTTTAAAATAAATTTAGATGTAGTAAACATGAATGTTAAATGTATAGCTTTCTGTAAAATATATTCCAAAACAATAAATATTTTTATATTTAAATATTTATAAATATTTTCTTTTCTTTTTCTTTTGAACTATCAGGGCCTGAGACTGTGCATGTTATTATGCGTCAGCCAAGCAACTGCCATTGAGATGAATGGGAATGCGAACAGATAGCTAGACAATGCATGAAAATAAATCAGCAGGTCTTTTCTCAGAGTAGACCTATCAGTTGGGCTTTTGAGCAAACTCCATTTGCTGAAGCAGCTGCAGTCATCCACATCCACCTAGCAACACCTGTTTGCATTAAGCAGAACGTGTTAGACTTTGCACCTGGAAATAGATGAGGAAAAGTAGCAAAGTTCATGAATGAGATGCATGTTTGTATTCTTTAAAAAGGGGTTGGAGAGTTGGCCAGAAAATAGAGAGTTTACAAAAAAAACTTTTGGCTAATATACCAACTGTCTTTACTGGATCAACGTTGGCGGGTTGCCACTGCGCAAACCAAAGGCTTGAAGGATTTTCTTAGCATCGGAAGTACTCAGTCATGCAAAACGCTCCTTTTTCTGGTAATGTACTGTGCAATTAAAAAGCCTTAAAAGGCTTCACTGATCAAACATGCACAAGCACAAACACTCTCATGCACACAAGCAGGTCAAATGTGGAAAAACCTGATCAGCCAATTGAGATAATCTCTCGCATCTGATTACTGCCATCTCATCTAAGCTGTCACCGTAATAGCTGGGGTTGTCATTAAGAGACGTGGTAACACGTAATGGTGCATGAACAATAAGTGGGGTAAAACCATGACCTGCGAAGGGGGATGGGGTGAGACAACAGGAAATAAAGGTCTGATGGAGCAATGGACACTCTGAATCAGGCCAGTAGACGTCATGGAGGCCATGCTGGCTGTGTAAACAGTGTGTTTAAACTGCTGCGGACAAATTAAGTGTAAAATGAATTGAAATCTAGAGCGAAAAAGCGATGGATTTTGCATTCTGCTTGGCCTATTAATAATCATCTTTTGATAAGGTCTTATGGCAATCAGTCTCAGTAATCACAGTAGGGAAAATCAGTGTTGCTCAATGAGATATAAACTACTCAAAGGTTTGAACAGGTAGGCAAAAATGATGTATTTAAAGCTTTCTGATTCTCAGCGGACAGTGTGCTGGAATGAATGGCTCTTTAGAGCAAGAACTATAAATAAAACTGTAAAAAAATATTTAAAAGCTTAAACTTATTTATTTAGTTTAACTTGAAGCGCTATAATGACTAAAACTGAAACTAAATGAATAAATATGAATCAAAACTATATAGACATACTTTCAATTTAAAATAAAAACAACAAAATTCTACTAAAACGTAAAAATTAAAGTGAAAACGGAAAAGTAAAATCTATTTTAAAATATTATCTATTTATAGCATATATCAATTATACTAAAAGATACTCACTCACTTTCAATCATTCAACTGAACTGGAAAGACAAGATCCGACTTAAAGAGCCATTTATTCCTGAGTCTCACATTACCTGGTTAGAACCAGAACAAGCAATGCACTTTTCCGGAATTAATTTGTACAGTCCGTGGCACAGACTGTACAAAACGATTATTCTGAATGGAAAGAACCGACTCAAAAGAGTGTTGCATACTGTCAGCTGTCTCAAAACAATCAATGCACGATTCGGGAATGGCTCTTTTGAGTCGGTTCTTTTCTTTCTGGTCTGAATCATCATTTCGCACAGTTTGTAGTACTGAAATTAATGATTTTAGTTTGATGATAAAGGGTAGGCCTACGTTATTAATTTTCAAAGCAAATTGTACTTATGATTCACCTAGCTGCTCCAGAGAACAAACTGAATCAACGATGAATCGACGTCTCTTTGCCATATCTGTGACGATAAAATGGGCAAAAACGTCCAATAGATTTGCATTGAAAGAGCGCCCCTAGCTTCATCTAAGGATGAAAATATACTAATATCCTTGAGGGTGGGCTCTTTCAAAGAATTCACATAGATAAAACCCCACACACCCAAGCATCATGATGGCAATGACTTTTGCACAGCCAGACTCACTCACATTTCTTCAAAAAATTAAATGGTTTATTACTATTATTGTTTTTATTATTTTAAATGGTTGATAACATTGATGTAGGGCAGGCTATGTACTAAATGGCTTATAAAATAGCAGTTCTTGCCAGCAGTCGTCTGAGTCAATGTTGTTCTGACTCAGACCAGGTATACTAATCTTCGCTCTCTTTCTTTCTTCCTCACACGCATGCACACACATTCTTTTCTTATCGCCTACATTTGTCAAGGATGTGTAGTTGTCATGGAAACCTTTCTCTCCTTCGCTATCTCTCTTCTTCTATCTTGCTGTCAGTGCTCAGTGTCATATCAGTGACACAAATATTGGAGGAAATGAATCTGATCATATGACCATGCAACAATGACCAGCAGCCGGATTTATCGCACAAGATGACAACACTGGATATAAGCTTTGCATAAAACACGAAGGAGACAAACTGCAAATTTTAGGCCTATAGTCCATTCACAAGCCCGAGGACAAATGATCAATGTGTCGCTTGCCAATATGGACTTCAGTCTTTATCATCTGTACATAAGAGTACTAATGTTTTTCCCATAAAGCACAGAGAGTCAACATCCTGAAAAACAGTGCTTCATGATACCCTCCATTGTTGATATAACTGTAAAAGCCTGGTGTGGCCTGGGCCAGTAATTAGGTTTCTGTTTAGTAGCCTGGAAGTTTCTATACAGGCAGAGCGAGAGATAGCCGACAGCTCTCAAAGGCACAGGGCTCCCTAAGGTTGAGTACTGCTTGTTTCTATGGAAAAAAATGACCAGAGGAGCCAATTAAAAGGAACATGCAATGTTCATGTGCATGCATGTAAAAAATATAAGAAGCTGACAGAGAAAAAAAAAGGCACCAAAAATTGCAAACTGACAAAATAGTGTTGAATAATCAGTCACATCTATATCAGCATATTATACACACACATCTATATCAGCATATTATACACACACACACAGACAGACAGGCAGGCACAGGCAGGCAGGCAGACAGACAGACAGACAGACAGACAGATAGAGATTTGAAACAGATGAACTTTTAAGAACTGAATTGCTATTTTGAAACTGAATTGTTAAATTGATATGCCATCTTTAAAATGCGGTCCTCATTATGCTGGAATAACAGCAAAACATGTTGCAATGGTCAAAACAAGCACTGCTACACTTTTAAAAATAAAGGTTCATTATTGGCATCTATGGTTCCATGACAAACCTCTAACATCCATCCATGGAACTTTTCCATTCCAAAAAGGGTTCTTCATATTGAATTTTTTTTCTTCTTCTATACTCTAAGAAAAAATGGTTTTCTTAAAGATGGTTCACTGAAAGGTTCTTTGAGGAACCAAATTTGGTTCTTCTACAGAAACACTGCACAAACCCCCTTCTGCACAAACTTTATTTTTAAGAGTGCAATGGGAAAAAAAATACATCAGTTTCTCTGAGAATGAAATAGTGCTTTAGACTAGTTTTTCCCCAGTCTTTGTGAGGGTTCTTCTTATCTGCTGTGCTTACAGAAGGTCAGCTGAACATCTGCGATATCTCTGTAGCTCTAACCATCACACGGATGCGCTAACCTAAAGGCTAATTGCTCCTGGAGCCGAGAACAGTGACATCCGTGAGCCCGTCACATCTCTCAATGTCATGCATGACCTTTCAAAACAAGGAGAGAGGAAAGTGACACTCTTCCTGTGAGCATGACAGAATAAAAGTGGAAAAATTTTAACATACACTCTCCAGTAACCTATTTGCAAATGATGGTGCAATCATATTTTCAGTAATATAAACTGTTTGTAGCTTTGTTGGGTTTTACCTGAAAGTCAATCAAACCTTAAGTGCAAAAAAACTTTAGTTTGACCTTAAACTTTTGTAATCTGTATTTCTTTCAGATAGGAAAAACCATTTGATGTCTTCCTTTTATTTTGGAAAATATTAAGCAGATTTTAACATTATATTTACAGAATGCTGTAATGACAGAGGCCCCGTCAATATTCTACACTCTTAAAAATAAAGGTGCTTCACAATGCCATAGAAGAACCTTTTTGTCTAAATGGTTCCATAAAGAACCTTTAACATCTGAAGAACCTGTCTGTTTCACAAAAGGTTCTTTGTGGCGAAAGAAGAAAGAGATGGTTCTTTAAAGAACCTTTGACTGAATGGTTCTTTGTGCAACCAAAAATGGTTCTTCTATAGCATCACTGTGAAGAACCTTTTAAGCACCTTTATTTTTAAGAGTGTACAGCAAAACAAAATCAGGAAAGCTGATTCAAATGATGGTAAAGTTTCATGAGTTATTCCTGTTTTTCCTGTAACCCCCATAGACTCACTTACACCACAATGATGAATCTTAATTGTAAGACCATTTGAGCTCTTCCTGACAACCATTGTTTCTTTTGCCACATCCAGTGAGCCCTAAATACAACCCCCTAAACCACGGCATTAATTATTTAATGTCCATTACACTTCAGGACAATTGCCTTAAAATACCAGGAAAAAATCGTCTCATGGTTCCCCGAGTAGGGAACGAGACACTCTAGGGGTCGCTATGGGGAACGCCTCGTCGTGTCCAGTGTCTGAAGCATACATTCAAAAAACACCAACAACACGTTGGCCGGCGACAGCCATGACGTCACTATCTGTGTGACTATAGTATAAATAGGCGCCGAGAGAACACATCATCCACTTCTTCGTCTGAAGCTTGCGTCCGAAGCATGGCAGGAAACCAAGAGGACGCAGTGTTTCGTTCCCTACTCAGGGAACCATGGTTACATACGTAACCTGAGACATTCCCTTTCAAGGGAACTTCGAACTGCTTCCTCTAGGGGTCGCTATGGGGAACGGTATACCCACGCCACCATGCTGAGGGGAGGGCATGTCAGAAAACCATGGCGAGCACTAAGTACCAACTCTACCATAGCCATGGGAGTTGCCCCTGGGACGTTAAGACGGCTGTCAGTGACATTATCCCCTATGGCCAAAGGCCTAGGCTACATACCCCAAAAACGTACCTGTTAGGGCCAGACCTCCTGGGTCCGGGGTAGAGCTCAAGGCTTGGAATCAGGAATAGATTCATTTAAGGGAATACGACCAAGAGCCTAGAATCATACTAAGTCTTGTCCTGTCACACAGGGGCTACCTCATGCTCTGCATATGTTGAAGGAACTGTCTCAACAGACCCCTAGTAGCAACACCCTGTTAAAAGTGGGTATCCGGAGGATACTAGGTGGAGTGGTGCCCAAGGTGGAACCGAGGCTTAACCAGCTCAAGAAAGGGCACGAAGCTGCTGTGCGAAGCCCTCACCATACAGGATTTTAGAAAGAACGCAGAGTACTAGCGTGCGAACTTACCACAGTGTGGATTTTAGAAAGTGTACAAAGACTTACGTGCACACTTACCATAACCATTCTAAGGGGCCCTCGTGGCACTCTGAAAGAGCAGACCATAGATGGAAATGGTGCATCCCAAAACACTATGTTTGAGAAGTCATCAACTCGATCTAAGGTATAATGCTGGAGTGGCTAGCAGTAAATCTCTAGCTGAGGGAGCAAACACCCAGCTCTCAATCGAGAGGGGG